AATCAATTATAATTTTGATCTTGTTTCATATCAATCATTTTCCCCAACGTTCAACTGTGCTTTATTACACGCACACGCGCGCACACACACGCACATGGGAGAGAAAAAAACACCCGACTTAAAATTAAATTTTATTCAAACAACTACAAAAAAATCAACGGAATGCAAACAGTGTCTCAGAACACTCAAAAGGACAACCAGATAATTCTTTGCTTCCAAGGACCACTTGAGTCGAACCCTTTCCGCGGTCCCTTTCATGTCGAAAATCGTGTTCTCCCTCGAGTGCTCCGAGACTCCATATTTGGTAACAAATATAGCTGACGGAATTTTGTGCGGTATTTCCATGTTCCGTTTTGAAGCGAAATTGGTAAAGCTGCGTTTCGGGGAGCTTGTATGATACTTTACTTATATAAAAAATCGATCTTTCTACAAACAAAACCTAAGTACTATCTGCTCTGATTTAACTAGTTGACTATTATACTGACACTGTCTAACCGACTTCGAAATTTTCTACAGATGTGTTTCCACGATGAAAAATGACGAAAAACAGCAACACCAAAATGGCTTCCAAGGGAACATGGGTTTTATTGCCGATGCCCGGGGTTTCCTTTACAGCTCTTCCCTCTCTCTGTAAGGCCCGTTCAGGTACTCCTCAGGGACTTCCTCGTTGGGTGAATTCTTCTTGTAGAATCCCTTCTTCAGCATGAGCTTGTTGCACTCTTCCCGGGACAACTTGTCCAGGGGCAGGCGCTCCACAACCTGAGAGTTTATCGATCATTATTTTTATTTATATTATTACATTTACTATCATTATAACTTATTACTATTTTTTGTCTACTTTTTTCCTAAATCTCTAGACCCTAACATTTGCAACTTCCCTTGATCTATCGCCGAGACAAATCGCAAACTTTTTTTCAATCAATATAATCACAATTTTCGTCACTCAAGTGCATACACGAAACCCTACAACGTTCATGCGCTCTTGTCCTTTCGGCATAATACAGATGATGGAGACCGACAGATCTTACTTTAAATCACTTAATGCCCTGTCAAATTTACTCAAAGCAACAGGTTTTGATTAATTACCAAATAAAGTTAAATTCAGTGTACGTAAAAGTGATTAATAATCAACTTGAGGAAATGCATCAAGACGAAATAAAAAACTGACACCGACCTGATCAAACCGATTGAGAAGAACCAGTTCTGGAGGAGCACCTCCTATCTGCTTGAACTTGGCATTATGGCTGAGAAATCAAGTTAGGGAAACATAATCGGGTAAATCTGGAACAGTATAAACAGTAGTGCTTACAAACGGCAATTTCTTCACGTTTTATTAAACACTAATTGCTTACATGCATCATCTTGTTAGTTATTCATGCATTTATATATATAACTGCACAAGTCACACACACAAACCAAAACAATAACACAAACAAAAACAAACACAAACAAACAAATACGTATTTACACCCAATCCTTAAATACATTTACCCGTTCATACATTCTCCTAAACTTTAACGATATTGAAAAAAAAGTATCCGTCAACGTTATACCGAAACCTTCCCAAGTAAAAGCAATAAACCTAACAAAAAAAGGATACAAGAGTGGGATGTCCTCGTGGATGAATTTCTTCACCTCGGGGAGCCTGTTCAAACGTCATCCACCGCAGCTCTGGAAGGAGAAATGGTACGGTCGTTATGATTAATGTTAATAAGGGGGTGGGTGGGATGAAGGAGAGAGAGAGTAGGGGAGGGAGAAAGTGGGGGATGGAGGGAGGGGGAGAGTGGGGGATGGGAGGGGGGAGGGAGAGTGGAGGGAAGGAGGAGAGAGTGGGGGTGGGGAGGGAGGGAGGAGACAGTGGGGGTTGGGGGAGGGAGGGAGGGAGGAGACAGTGGGGGTTGGGAAGGAGGGAGGGAGAGTGGAGGGAAGGAGGAGAGAGTGGGGGTTGGGAAGGGGGGGAGAAAGGGAGAAGGAGAGAGTGAAGGGTGGGGGGAGGGAGGGAGAAAGGAAGGAGGAGAGAGTGGGGGTTGGGAAGGGGGGGGAGAAAGGAAGGAAGGAAGAGTGGGGAGAGGGGGAGGGAGGGAGAAAGGAGAGAGTGGGGGGCAATAGGAGTGAAAAAAATCCGCAAATAACTACTTAAGATACATAAAATCGCGCAGCATTTCCGAAGAAAGCAAACATCTATTCGGTATGTAAGCACATCTGGTAGTCAAAACCCTGCAAATCGGTTTATAACTCCTTTACAAATCAACATGTTCCGTGCTAGCTGTACCGGTATCAGTTATGCTAAGTATGTATGTCCTTAAACACTCCTCTCTCTCCTCCTCTCCAACTCGGTGTTAAGTAATACATCGAACATGCCTATACAGTTATCAAAATACAATAATGAAGTCCTAACCACACGTATCGAAATTTGATCAGATACAATCGAGAATAAACATTACGTGTTTGCGTTTTATTCTTCAGACTGCGCTTCATCCTTATACACGATTTTATTATTTTCTTTCTTTTTCTTTTTTTAATGCTTAACAGTGACTATACATTCTTTTTGTGCGTTAGGTAATCGCATTATAATAAAAGGGAGTGTGAGAGTACGTGCTCGCATCTATCACACTACATATTAAAATAAGAGTGGTCACGTGTTTACAAATCCTGAGGTAACCGTTTTCAAAGTTCGGAATTCATGGTTATACTCTTCAGAACCCATTCATATTAAGGCCAGTTTTTGGTTTTTTGTTTTTTTGGTTTGTGAAAGGCCCCAGTGAATATTCATACACATGGGCATGCACACAGATTTTCAAGTAGATTTTTTATCTATCGTTATATATCAGGTAGATATGCATATATATCAGATAAATGCCTATCTAGACTGACAGACAAACGTGTATTTGTGTAATGCATATCCACATGTATGAATATTCATTGGGTGGGGCTTCACGCAATATTAACAAACCAGTCAGACTTTCCGAAACACGCTTATTTACCCTCAAAATTAACACCGTAATGAATTACAATGAATTACTGTCATGATTCGGATTTTAAGTCGATCTCAAAAAATATATTCAGCCATTAATATGCCAATACTCATATATATTCGGGGGTTTTAAAGTTATTAATTTTCATCGTAGACTGTACGAATATAAACTACATGTCGTAAATAGCAGCTGTTCAGCAGGCACATACGGCTGACACGTCGATACATCGTTATCAAATGCCACATGCCCAGTGTGATAAAAAAGGTTAAAGGGTTCATTAAGCCTTACTATAATACCCAGGTTAAATCCGCAGTATTTACCATGTACAAAGGAGCTTCAACTGAAATGCGATAACTGATATATTATTAACATTAGAAAGCCGGTAAAATGCCCGATTCAATATATAAATGATAATCTTCACAATCCCTTAGCATATCAGACTGATAAACACTTCTCATAATAAAAAAAAACAATTCTCCCAGTTTCTAATAATCTAATCTCACCACACAGACTACTTCCTACTCCCTAGAACGAAGAATAAAACCCTGATATATTTCCCCGCTCTTTCACCCCAAAGACTAAGTCAGTATCATCATAAAATCAAAAGAAACAGCCGCTTCACAGGTGTTTTTTTCTCTCTGCCTTGTGAGACCCAACAGCTGTTCCGTGACGTCACAACCGCAGCCAATGGGAAGCCACAGCGTTGTTTTCGAAGTCGCCGGTTTTTTAACCAAGTCTTTGTATTTTTTCCTTCAATTTTCCCTTCATGGAGATAGCATTATTCGGTTTGATTTTTTAAGCTGGACTTCCTATTAACATATTGATAGTCTATTCGGTCTTATCCAGCTTGGAGATACGGTTAAAATAGGTTTAAACCAGGAAAACGCCAAACGTCAAAATACAACACTTGGTATCCGTGGCAACCTCCATACTCCTTGTTCATAGCAGGCTTCTCTCTCTCTCTCTCTGTTTACGAAATACATTCCCGATTTCACCGAAGAAACGATCATTTCCACTCACCTCCACGCGAGCCTTGGCAATGTCAGTCTCACGTAATTCTTCAGCGAGTGTGTAAGAGAACACGGCCCCCAGCAGGAGGAGGAGCTGGAGACTCCCTTTCGCCATGGTTGCTAGGCCCGGACTGAGGGAAATGCTTCAGCGGTGGGAAGACGTCAACTGAAGATGACTTATGTGAAATTTACCTGTGACCGAGTTCTAGATTTAAAAAAATAACTTAACATGAATGAATGCCTCTGTATATAAGGGGTGATTTGATAGGTTTAAATATAACCGATGAAAACAGAACGGAATATAAAAAAATAGGTTTTTATTTTTTCTTCTAATATCTTTGTTAAAACTCTCGAATATAAAAAGAGAAAGTAAACACTACGATTTTCCTACATTTCTTTATTTTGCTACGCTTCACACTCCAGTTCACATTAATCATTGGAAAGTGTCGTTATAACTCATTTGACTAAAAAAAACAAACATGTTGAACGATGCGCATTTGTTGCGAGTCGTTTAACTTGCTGCTAAATGTTGCTTATTTTCCCGTTTCTTCTCCCTTTATAATTTAAGAAGAATCATGAAGAAAGGTTTCTCTTTAATGGCAAGAAAAACGTAGTGTACGTGAAAATCAATACGTCGGGACAGAGGCTGGATTTACAAGCCTACGAGTACATTTCAATAACGATTTAGTATCGAGTATATTGATAAATGTTGCTCAAACGATGGGATTTCCATGAAGTAGACGAAGACTCATGCAGTCTATCAACACCGCATGATAAAAAAAACAATGATTACGTTTATCTACCTTTACATTTAGATGATACCAGATTCATCAGAATATGGTTTTCACGCAAGCCTCCAGATATGATCATTCACTTGACTAGCAGTGCATAATGATACTTCCAAAGAAATATTAAAAGACTACCCACTGATTACATATTTTTCTTTCTCATTCTTTTAGCATGGCCAGATTTGTCTATCTCCATACGAAGAAAGGTTATTAAAACATAACAGGCATCTGTTTAAAATCACACATTCTTATTATGATCTGTCATGAGTCTGTGAACAGGCGGAGCACACGGCCGTCAGCAGCCAGGCCGACTTCAGACTTCCGAAGACGGCGTGAGTATCAAACCCTTTCCACCGCCCTCTTCATGGTGTCTCCCGACCGCCGACGGCCCTCTGCCCCGCCACATTCACTCCCCATCACAGTACAACGGGTGGTGAAAAAGTACAAAGGAGGAAACGCCGTCTATGAACTGATACATCTTCAACATCTTCATTTACACACAATGGATTTTTTTTTTATTTCATGTGCATCTAACTTGGGTTTAATTATACACGCTACAAATAAAAAAGGGGAAGGAGGGATAGAATAGAACACGTGGCCCGCCACCAATGGAAATATGCCTGGCGTGTGCTGTTGAACTACAGTTCATTCGGTTAAAAAAATTCACATCTTAGAGTTCCACCCTCTCCTTGTACGGCCCTTCCCGGTACTGGTCGGGAACCTCCTCGTCCTTCTTGGTCTTCTTGTAAAAGCCCTTCTTCAGCATGAGCATGTTGCACTCCTCGCGGTTCAACTCGGACAGAGGCAGACGCTCCACTTCCTGTTTTGGGGGGAAGTGTGGGAACAAGTCATGAAAAAGAGGTCAACTATAGAATATTAGTTGTTGCATATATACTTATATTATCACGAATTTCACCCTTATGATTTATTAAAAAAGAAAAAGACAAAATATAACTGCAATAAAAAAAACATTCCAAATTCAATATTCACACAAACAGGTATATAAAACAAAGTGTCCATGCAGTACTATCCAAGTCCACCAATAGCCTGAAATATCACTATGCTTCAACATCTGCATCTACAGATTACTAACCTCATTTGAAGCGTTGAGCAGCACCAGCTCAGGAGGGGCACCGCCGATGAACTTCACTTCGGCGTTGTGGCTGTTTAGCAGTTAAGGAATAGACAATAATTCTGCTTTAGACCAAGAGTTCCAATCAAGAATCCCCCGGTTGTCTGAAGGTGTGCAAATATAATACTGGGGAGTCTGACTATATAAATAATAATAACAATAATAATAATAACAATAATAATAATAACAATAATAATAATAACAATAATAATAATAACAATAATAATAATAACAATAATAATAATAACAATAATAATAATAACAATAATAATAATAACAATAATAATAATAACAATAATAATAATAACAATAATAATAATAACAATAATAATAATAACAACAACAATAATAACAACAACAATAATAACAACAACAATAATAACAACAACAATAATAACAACAACAATAATAACAACAACAACAATAATAACAACAATAATAACAACAACAACAATAATAACAACAACAATAATAATAACAACAATAATAATAATAACAACAATAATAATAATAACAACAATAATAATAATAACAACAATAATAATAATAACAACAATAATAATAATAACAACAATAATAATAATAACAACAATAATAATAATAACAACAATAATAATAATAACAACAATAATAATAATAACAACAATAATAATAATAACAACAATAATAATAATAACAACAATAATAATAATAACAACAATAATAATAATAACAACAATAATAATAATAACAACAATAATAATAATAACAACAATAATAATAATAACAATAATAATAACAATAATAATAACAATAATAATAACAATAATAATAACAATAATAATAACAATAACAATAACAATAATAATAACAATAACAATAATAATAACAATAATAATAATAATAATAATAACAATAATAATAATAATAATAATAATAATAATAATAATAAAAAACAGAACCCCCAATTAGCTCTGTAAATTGAACACCATATGTGCCATATGTGCTACAACCTCTGAAGAGCCTTTTCCCAGCCTTTCAAATAAAAAAATACAGGAAGATTATCAAGGATGGCCCTGATCTACGCTTCGCACTGCTAATTTAAACTAATTCTCAAGTGTCAACGGAGTAACATCAATTAGCTCATTAAACGTTTTTTTACCTGTCATTCTCTCGTTTGCATAACCCATTACATACGTCTTTCAGAATAATGAAACGAGAGGGAAAAAATTGTTAAGTAGAAACCTTCAAAGACATTTATCCAAATAAAAGAGGCTATCGTGCAAAGTAATGTTAGGAACCACAGCTCTGGATAGTGCAATACTATACCACACAAAGAACATAATACTCAATGCTAATACTATACGAGTGTAAAACGACCCACCCGCTAAATACTTCAATTACCTTTTCACTTACTCAGGGAACGACCATAACGACTCCAAACGATACAATACACAAAAGCAAATCAATCCTCATGTTAAACATCACTGTAAAGGTTTTATATAAAAGGATACAAGAGTGGCATATCCTCCATGATGAATTTCTTCACCTGTGGGAGGCTATTCAGACGTCATCCACTGCAGCTCTGAAAGAAACACAATACATGTAACTAAAGTACTTGAGTATGTCATTGGTAGGTCAGCATTATGTTTATAAGTATAACCGTAATATCTCGATCTATCTATCTATCCATCTATCTATCCATAGGATCATATTTGGAAATGTGATTATGTTTGTATCTAAGTATATATGCATGTATGTATGTACGCATGTATGTATGTACGCATGTATGTACGCATGTATGCATGTATGTACGCATGTATGCATGTATGTACGCATGTATGCATGTATGTACGCATGTATGCATGTATGTACGCATGTATGCATGTATGTACGCATGTATGCATGTATGTACGCATGTATGTACGCATGTACGCATGTATGTACGCATGTACGCACGCATGTAGGCATGTATGTACGCATGTATGTACGCATGTATGTATGTATATCTATCAATCTAATATATTTCACCAGCCAAAAAAATTCAATGCATTATGCATGTGAAACAGGATCTTATAAACTCAACCTGACAATTTCCCCGCATCATAGAGCTATCACATTCAGTCCACATCCTTATTTACCACACACAACAAACAAAAAACAAAGAACGTGACACAGGATAAACTTGAACGTTGTCTCTGCATGCAGGATAGAGAGTCGATATACGAGGCTTCAGCATAACCGGCGTCCAAGTTATTAGGTAAATAAACTGTTCAGCCAAAAAGTGATTTACGTTTATTACTCTAAAACTGCATGTAAATTATTTCTTTCTGTCTCATAAAAAAATATCGCTGATACGTCAAATTCAACCTGTGATTGCTTTCAATAGTTATGGAGCAGTATATGCATCGTAAGTAAGTTATAACCAGAATAAAGTTTTTTTGTACCCCCCCCCCCCCGTTTACTTGTGTTCACAGAACATACACAGGTTCAATTATACATTTGCATAATATACAATATATAGCATAAATATAAACAATGTAAACAAACATCAAAAACATACATTTTGCAATATAATCAACTCGTTACTTAAAATATATCGATAAGGTTTGAGCTGATGAGATAGGCAGATCTGTCTAAGGAGGTGCTTTCTCTTGACAACCCAATAAGCACACATTCTCAATGCAGTTCATTTGCACTGGTTATTGACAGAATAATCAAAACCTACTTAACTTGCACTCAAACGCCCACGTGTATGCGGAAAAAAACCGACACACACAAATTTAAATATCTTTTAAATATATCATACAGGTACAAGTGTGACAGGATATATTTACGATCATATATATATCACATAATTGCAGAGATAAAGACCGCCAAAGTAACCGACACAAAGAACGCAGAGAAACAAACAGAGAGACAAAGAACAGAAACAAGCAAAACACACTACCTTACTAACAAAGAGAATAATAAAGCAGTAGAGAAAAAAATCAAGCAAAACCAGGTAAAACTTCCCTACACCCCTTCTCCCTTTCCCAGGCCGGACCAACAAGCCCAAAAAGCCTACAAGCACAGCCCGACTAGGGAGGGGGTTGCAGGAAGAACCCCATCAGCATTGCAGCGAGAGAAAGCGTGCAAGGTCACCATGAGGAGGATGCACGCCATCAACATGCAATGGCTAGGTCGGTCATCCAAGAATCACAATGAAAATGTATTCATATAACTGTATGTAAAAAAAATTACGACCTAATCATTAATGCAAGAATCTAAATTAAAATGTATTCATGCAATTGTTTACTAGAACCTACAACCTAATTAATATGCAACAATAGTAATAAAAGTGCTTTTACACAACAGAATATTAATTAAAAACCTAGAACCTAATCAATAATCCAATTAAACTTGTATCAATAAAACAATTTTTTATCTTAAAAAAAAAACAAGTGAGAAGGTTGTCATTTAAAAAATCATATATGCACACACACACACACACACACACACACACACACACACACACACATTCACAACTCCACAACCTGAAAGGGGATAGCCCACGATCCTAAAACAAACAACAAAGAACTCCTAACTATAACAACCACTCACAAAACACAAGCGAAACGCCCCCCTCGCTGATGCAACAAAGCATTACCCCCCAAAACACCTGTGATGAATATCCGTGAACACCAAACATCTCCCAGCTGTATACGAAATTAAAAAAATAGAAAAAGAGAGGGCCATTACTTTTACAAGACACAGATGTTAAACGCTATCATTCTCGCGTGTACACCTGCTCACGTGCGTACACCTGGGCAGTTGACTTGGATACGATCAGCCAATAGCAAAGCGCAACGTTTGGACCTGAAAGGGGGGGAGGGGGTGAAGCAAGAGGAATGGCGGAAGGGGGAGGGAAGGGTGAATGGAGGGTTGGAGAGGGAGAGGGGGGAGGGGGGAGGAGTGAGAGAGGGTTGGGTGAAGGAGGGTTAGGGAAAGGGAGATAGGGAAGAGAGGGAGAGGGAGATGGGGGGGGAGGGGAAGGAGTGAGAGGGAGATGGGGGGAGGGGAAGGAGTGAGAGGGAGATGGGGGGAGGGGATGGAGTGAGAGGGAGATGGGGGGAGGGGATGGAGTGAGAGGGAGATGGGGGGAGGGGATGGAGTGAGAGAGGGTTGGGTGAAGAAGGGTAAGGGAGAGGGAGATGGGGGGGGGGGTGAGGGAGAAGGAAATGGGGAGGAAGGAGTGAGTGGGAGAAGGGGAGGAGGTAGAGAGAGAGAGAGAGGGAAAAGAGGAGGGGGTGGGGAGAAAAAAGTGGGGGAGCACACTCAGAAAAAGAAAATGAAAAGAGGGAGAGGGAAAGAAAGAAGGAAAAGACTAAGAAAGAAGAAAAAATGGGCGGCGTTAGGAAGAGGAAACGAAAACATAAACAAATCATTAGTGTAAAGTATACCCCATGAAGGCTAAAGGAAGAAAACATAGAACTTCCACTTAAGTCATGCTCTCGATTTTTTCCCGTTCTATCAGGAAAATCCGGATGGTGAAATATCTACTCATATCACATCATAACATACAGTCTGTGTTGATCGATTTTCACACACACAGAGACACACACACACAGACCCAGGCAGAAAGACACAAACACACAGACCCAGGCAGAAAGACACACACACACAGACCCAGGCAGAAAGACACACACACACAGACCCAGGCAGAAAGACACACACACACACACACACACACACACACACACACACACACACACACACACACACACACAGACCCAGGCAGAAAGACACACACACACACACACACACACAC